TGCATCATGTCAAACTGTCTTTGAACAACATTTTCAGTAGGGATGGTGGTAATAAGGCATAGTCATACAGGAAGTACTCTCACTGCATGCACAGGCTTCAGAGGATATTAACTGCACAGAAGTTCAAGATACCATAAAAATGTGTGCAGCAGCTGACAGCATCTTCAAATTTTCAGAGTACTACACATACTTGTTATGGCAATGGCAACCTGTGTAACCAATGATACTACAAGGCCTTCTCCTCTCAGAGATTAGTTCATGTGTGTACAGGGTCAAAAATGATCAGTGGTTATTAAACCAGTCTCACTATTCTGAGTTTCATATATGCACAAAATATTTTAGCAGTATGCTTTCACAAAGTTCTAACTTATAATTTAACCCTTCATTTTATGGATCCTAAAATACAGTTTCAAAATAAAAACCATTACTTACAAAAGTAAAATTCATCCTAAGAATGTTTCTTTTTTTTTTTGAACATGTAAAACAATTTTTTTTTCACAGACAAGGTAATTATGAATCTGTGACATATATGGACTTCAGTGTTAAAGAAGTTATACTTAGAGGGCCCTCTACACAGGGCATACCTAAGTGAATCATGGGATAGTGAAATAATCCTAAATGTAATTCTATGCTAGAAATTAACCACATGCATGTCAGATTACAGTGTTCATCCCTGTGTGCTTCTTGTGTAATTGCCTAGGCTGTTCTGAACGTGGGTAAGAGGAAAGCCACCTGAGAAGAGATCTCTAATGCGGTGAAGTGGGGGTGGGGGATTGAGGGGGGGGTGGACAAGACTAGGTTGTACTCCTAGAGAAGCAGCCTAGCTTTAATAGGAGCAGCTGGCTAAACAAAACAGGGAAAATATTAGTTGACTCTTACTGATGTGACTGAAAATGGCCTGTTTGTAGAAGAAGTTAAGGTAAATGGCTCAACAACGAATCAAACTGGTTTCTCAAGGTGCATCATTACAATAAATCTCTTGACTCTTTATGCTGTCAGCAGACAGCAGGTATTTGGAGCAGGAAAACTAAAGTGTGGAATTAGTAATGCAGATGCTGAAAGGTCAGTGGCATGACTGAGAGACTGGCTCAAAGGGACACCACTTTGTTCCCATCTCCACTGCACCTACCCTCCAAGGTAAAAGGCCAGAGCCCCCAAAGCTTTTAGCAGTAGTGTGCACAACTGTCAGCTGACAGACAACACAGAAAACAAGTCACACTATGTTATCTGTGGTCACGTTCTTCAGTGTTAGTCCAGGAACTCGAAATTTTATTTATCTCTGTTTATTTTCATTAAACACAAAAAGGTTAATAAACAGACATAGTCCAGAGTTAGTAGGTTGGTATTATAACATTTATTAAAATAATGCTATGGGTTAATAGAAACAGCAAAGAACCAAAGAATTAAAATGCAAGCTATGTAAAATCCCAACTAAAACCCAGAAGTGTCTAATGTATTCATTCATCAGCTAACTAAAAGCCCAAGAAAGACAAGACACCCAATATAATAAAGTACTGCAAAACAATTGGCAATTTTCAGTTATCAAAATTGTGGATTTTGCATTTTGTATCCTTTTCTCAATCAAGAAAAAAATTCTTTTGAATGTTATATAACATACATATAAAACAAGATAGAAAAATACATTATAAACTTGTAACAATGGCTGTAAATACATTATCTTACATGTTTCTCATAGGCAATAGGTTGGTTATGGTACATACATAGCATGAAACTACTAAGATAATAAAGAATAGACAAAAAATACATGTCAGCTGTATGGTAACATACTAGCGACACTCCCATCTACCCACGCTAAAAAATTACATAATACTGTCAGGAAAAAAGTCTTAAAAACTACATACTTTAATAAGAAAAAAATTCAATAGAGTGATAATACTGAGAACCAAGGCATTCAGAGATTCCAAAAGTCATGCTTTTTCAGTTGACTCAAAACACTGTCAACTAAGTTTTCAAAGTTTGTTCAGAGCCAGCATTACTCATAAACGTCACACGTCTATTGTTTTACATTTACTTTCTTCCCCATAAAAGACCTTTGATAAACATCTAAAATGTCCAGGTATAACACAGCTGAGATGAGACTGGATCAAATACTGGTACTGTTTGTTTACTGTCACCTCAAGTGTTCTGAGTGTCGCAAATTTATTCAACCAACCAAACAAAATGAAAATCAAAATGGCACAGCATATATTGTAAATAAATCAAAATCACCACGTGTATAACAGAAAGACAAAGCAGTGGTACATTAAACCAAAGCTAGCTGAGTACAAAACAAGGACTGTCTATTGCATAGTAAATAAACTGAAAATGGTTCCAAGTGAGACAGAATAATGGCGAGGTCACCATGAAGGTGCCCAATGAGCTTCCTGCTGACCTTGACTGTGAAGCCATGACGGTATGGAAGAGGGCATGAGTTGATGAGCCAGGAGTCCACTATCACTTGAGATTTGCCACATCTGGTACTGAGCAGTTAATGATTGATTAACTCAAGTATTTAGATGCAGGCTTTGCACACAAACTGTTTCAACTACAAAACTGAACTTTATGAGAAACAAAAGGAATGTAGCTGAGCGTTTATATGCACTGTGACGCTAGCTTTCCACATTCCTTTAAAGTTAAAAAATGGGGCAAAAAGGTGTGTTACTAAAGAGCAGTTGCTGAAGCCAGCAGAGATGGACTACACAAGGTATCTGGTATGACATAAGTCTGATCAAATTGGGGTTATTTAACACTTTTTTTACCATAAAAAATTTCAGATTTGTTTTTGTGAAAAAGTTTGTTATGCATTATAATTATCTCCAATTACTAAGAAAAAAATTCAATGTATCCCTCTTCTCTAAATAAAATAAAGCTCTAATTTAATTTTGTCTGTAAACTGATGTTCAGATCTCACATAATTTTTTCTAACCTCAGAATCCTCTGGGCTAACTAACACTGAAGACGGTAATAACCAAAAGTACTCAATTATGATTTGTAAAAGAATGACGTTTTAAAATTTACTAGTCAAACATTAGAAAAGCTATCACATTTTTTTTTCACAGTATCAGATTTGGCAAATTGGCATCAAGATAACGAGACACAAATCATATAATTTAGACCATCAACTCATCTGTTTCTCCTCATATCTCCTTTCACATACTGGGCGATGGAGGACATGCACTAACTTTTACTCTGAGGGAGGAGCTGATCTTGCAGGACACTTGACTAAATGACCATGAAGGAAAATAAGGCACTTTCTTTTTCTTTAGACTTATTCCAATACTTAAAAAATAAAAAACAAAGACAAAAAGGCTCTTTTGGTCTTTTGTTTCTTGACAACCACCAGAAAAAATCATTTAATGAAATAAAGGGTTTCTTTGTTCTTTTTCTTTTTTTTTATAACACTTGAAAGTATAAAATGCTACATTTCCAAAAATATATATTTTTTTTCTGCACCAGCACCCTTGTATAGTAAAAGTATCTACTTTTTGTTCATTTGTTTCAATGCACTACACTTTATCTACAATTTCATTACATGTATACAGCAAATAGGCAAGCATGGCTTTTACATCCTTAATGATATTTTCTATACAGGGAGGTTTAAAAAAAATATTTGAACAGTTTGCCCAGTAATGTGACACATAATGCATGTACCTTGTTCTCATATAATTTTTAAGGTGGTGTAAAATAAAGATTTGGAAATTTTAACTCAGATACTCAACTTTTTAAAAATAGTGTTGCAGTTTTGTTCTTTGCATTACTTTTCAAAACTCCTTGTTAAGTTTTTCTCTCATGGCACACTTTGTTCTAATACTTCAAATTTTGGCAGGCAATATAAAAGGCTGCGATTTCTGCCCTTTGAGGGCACTGTAGTGACTAAACAAAGAGCAAGTCAAATTTTGAATACTTGTGAAGTCACTTCACCAATGACATCCCTGACCGAAGGTTCATGCATGATGCATTGTCACACAGTACATTCAGAGAGAGCTGTGACTTCGCTAGGAGAAGAAAAAGATTCCTACAAGTCTCTCACAGTAACTGCCTCTGTCACTGAGTAGTTAGGGCCATCTGTCTCCCCTTCTTAAGAGAGGCCTTCTTACCGTTCGCTTGGGGTGGGGCATTGAAAGATGATCAGTGCTGTGGGATGAATCGGGCCTTATTGCTTTACTACTATTCAGTGCAGGTTCTAGAACCACTTTCACCCAAACAGGGGGGGTGGGGGGAAGCTGAGTTGGAGGACAATTTCTTTGTCTTTTGTTTGGTTAGATGGTAAGACGAACGGACAAGTGCCTCAGCTCGCTGCACTGACGACAGGCAAGCAAAGGCGATTACCAGTTAACTGATCAGCAGGCAGGCATGGTCAGGTCATCATTGGGTGAAGAGTTCAGAGGTCAGAAGGTCATAGGTTAGTTGCCGGTGGCGGCTGGGTGGTTAGAAACAAAAAAAAAAAAAACAAAAAAACAAAAAACAAAAACAAAAAACAAAAAAAAGAAAAGAAAAGATAGAGAAGAGATTAGTTTCAGCTAGTGACGGCTTAATGACAACATGAAAAACTAATCACAACTAATAAAAAAAAGCATGTTGAATTCTGACAAACTGATTGACACCATCTACAGAATACAATAAAAATCATGACAATTTCATATCATGATTTGAACAAATGAAGAAGAGCCCACTCCCACAAAAATAATTTGAAAAAAACCCAATTTGTTAACAGAAAAAATAGAAATAAAATACAGCTAACAACTAATAGTTAGTAGCAGTCACTGAAGGACACTGGAGAACAATGATGAATAGGTTTGGTATGAAGAACTTTGAACAGTCAGTGCAGTTATGAGTATCTGACTGCTATTAAGCATTAGTATTCTCTCAGATGCAAGCAATAAAGCAACTATTAATGATGGATGTGATTATTAATAACTGATGATTAACAGAAATGAATCTAAAGAAATTTAAATTACTATGAACAATTTGGTTCAACATAAACTCTGGGCCAAACAAGGTTTCTTTTGTCCAATAAATGTTTATTGCTTTTTCAATTATTCTATTTACAAACAACATGGAATTTCTTGGCCTCATGATACAAAGCAATACTGTAGTCTAGCAGTGTAGGCAACATCATGGGAACCAGAAAAAGGCCAGGCCTTTTGCACCAGCCAACACTTTCCAGTTGAAAATACTAATTTACACATATAGAACACTTATAAAATGCACTTGCATGTAAACACTGTAAAATCCTGCCATTTAAAACTCTATACCTCAAAGAACTCTAAGTACATAAAAAATAGAAGAAATTTCTAACTGATACCAATAAGGCATTTTAAAACTACAAACAGCTTTCTTTATTCAATTTCAAAGCTAATACTCTGCAAATACAATAAAATCTGACATTTCATATACATTCCTGCTTTATATTTTTATATTTTAAAAGAAGCCACCTGTAAATACTATTTTCTTTTGCAAAGTAACAAAAAAAGAACAAAAAAATTAAAAAAAAATTACAGTAAAACATAAAGTAGTTCTCAAGTGGAAAAGTTATCCCTCCAAATGTCCTTGAGTAGCTCCTTCTTAATCAACCTGTCACCTTCCACTTCACCAAACTTGGTCCACTTAACAGTAGTATGATTTGTAAGACTCATTCAACAGCTTCATTATTTCTACTATATTCTGAGGTTGGACAGAAGAATTCTGTCCTGTTGCCCTTGTAACAAAGGCAGGAGAGACGTGAATGAAAAGATGCTCAGTGCAAACTTAGATTCGATGCCACTTCATAATAAAACCTAGTGGGGTAATGTTCACAGGGTTTAAATGTTCTCTATAATAGACTTATTCACCTTTGTATGACAAAATGTTTTCTATAGTTTATCAATTAGGACAGTTTATAAATACTACAAAAATACTGTATCTTCAATATAATCAAATCTTCCCTGAATTTCTTAAAAGGAAGTGGAATTTTATTTAAAATTTAAAAATAAAAATGCTGCTCTCCAAAATTTAATTTGTGTAAGCAATGGTTTTGATCAGATCATGACTTGGATAATTTCTGATTATGTTTGAGTGTAGAATATTTAACAAAGAAACCATCATATTCAGTCCATCTAGACTCATCCTCTGCCATGTCCTAGCCTCCTACAGTGCACATGGGTATGTCAACTGTGCAAAATCACTCATCATTGGTTACAAGTCAGTTGGTCTTTAAGTTTCAAGCCGATTTTGAAATAAGCATGGAGGTGGGTTTGTTCTCAGTAAGCAACCACTTTAAATGCTCACACATAGTTACATGGTTGTGTGTCCTTGGGCTGTGTCCTTGCATCAAATGAATGCTAATAATAATCTTTAAAAGATTTTTTTTAAATAAAAAAAATAGAGAAAACAGTAGTATCATAAAATAATGTAAGTCAAGGACTTCGGTCATCTCCCTTAGACCCAATGAGTACATGTGGTGATAGTAAGCATAAGCGATGTCTCTAGAAAAAGAAAAGAGGAAGGGAGGGAGAGGGAGAGGGCATTTCGGTTTGCTGACATTGCATTTCAAATACAAATATAACTAATCAAAATAAACACAGCTACAGATGAGCCATGTATGGAATGTGTTGTCATTTTCCAAACATAGTAAGATCTTGGTCTAATATTTTCAACTACCTGAAGGCTCTGGAGTACAAAGTGAGAAAGGATTATTGTGTTAACAAAATTATAGAAAATCTCCTAAGAGGAACACAGGGAAAGAAAACCTAATAAGAAAAATTACTTCAAAATCAAAACACTTTGTAAGAGAATTAATTTAGACTTTAGCAGTATGATACAGCTTCAATTACTTGTAAGACTGCCCACAACTAAAGTGACCTTCCCCCATCTAACTTCCTATCTCTCGGTGATTCTGACAGAATGGTTAATACACTCACACTTGCAACAACTGCATGGAGTATTATTATTATAGATGTTCCCACAGGTAAGGATTTATTTTGTTTAATAATGAATAACCACTACAGAAAAATGTATACATTAGCCAAAGTTTTCAGTATATATGATATTATATAAATACCATAAATGTCTTTGGAAAGGCATTTTATTTCTAATACACAAAACAAGTGTGTCCAATATTTATGATGGGTATTCAAGGTAACCATGTCAAGTGAGCTAGGTCCTTTTCTACTATGCTTGGGATTCCAATCTTGCAATTAAAAACAAAAACAAAACCACCACACAAAAAAAGTAAAAAACAATTCAATGTCAAAAAACCGAAACTACCATTCCTCAAATAAGCATAAATAACTTTAAAATGGGTCCAAGGGCATATATAGAGCACAAGTTTCAAATATGAAAGTGAGAAAAATGAAGACTTGTTTTCCAGTCACAGGTTAGTCAAAAAGGATATCCAAACAGCTGGATCTCACATACCACAGAACTTCAGGATAGTTTACCTTCAGGTACTATATTTTAGCAGCAAATGACAAAAATCAAAGAATCCATTTTGGCAAGAAAATAGAACAAGAGGGAACTCATTTTCTAATTCATAAAAAGTATCCACCTACATGAAAATTATTTCACAGTCCTGACTGTTAATTTTAGCTAAGTACTTGACATGTATACCCTCATATTTACACAGTGGCTCAATGTTTTACTATATAGAAAAATGGAAATTAAATCTTTAGTTTTCTCTAAAAATGACACAGAAGCAAATTCCTTTACTTCTCTCATGAAAACATAATCTGTTCAATTCATTCTGCAGTACCAACCCAAATATTCAGAACAATTAAAGGGTAAATTTTAGCAATAATTAATACTAAAAATTGCCACGGTAAATATAAAATTTAATAGCTCCTCAAATTGACTAATTTATGTTTTAACTGGAATAAATCTTAGGATATGTAATAGAAGACTTAATAAATTAAAATATAAAGGGGAGGGGTAAAAACCCAAACCAAAACAAAAAAAAAATCATAAACAAAACCACAAAACCAACCTTCAATCAATCAATTATTAAATTAATTAGGGAAGGAAAAGAATGGTGTGCAGGTAAACAGTTACATCTTTCCATCAGGTGTGGTGTTGCAAACTTGATGGACACCCAGCGCATTGCTTATAAACAAGAACTGCAGAACTAAACTAACCTCGGTCTGCGGTCACAATCCTTTGGTAAGGATGGACACGCATATCGTGCCTTCGAACTTTAGTAGCCACCGCACCTAGTTAAATTGCAATTACCAAGACAAAGTTAGAAAACATACATAAGGGAAACATCGACAGCAGGTTTATCAAAATGGATCTCAAATGTTCACTTACTACAAAAGCTTAAGAAACACGTTAAGGCACAGTAGTTTTAAAATTAACTGTAGTATGCCATGTATATATGCATCTATCAATATTGCATTCATTTCAAACAGGTTGGCCTTCCACCTACTTCATCCCTTCATTTACAGTCCCCAAGTCACAGTGTCTCATGAGCTCTATTAGAACCAGACGTAGCTGAGCTTTACTAGTCACATATTCACTGAAGTGCCTTTCTTGCAGCAGGACTACTTAAATAATGCCACATTTAATACTGACAAGTATTTGCTAACCTTAACTTTCAGAGTTTATCACTTAAAAAAGGTTTAAAAAGCAACTCTTAAAGCCTACAGATTGTGGTTTTAAACTTTTGAGTCAATAAGTATGAACTGCAATGAATTAGGTGATTAGTAAAGCAAACAGTACAGTACACTTAGCAGTCAGTATACTACTATACACTCCTTTTATAAATTACCATTGCTTTGCAGTATTACAGACTAATCCAAATTAATAACATCATTTTACTTTATATCTATGTGCAAAAGTGCAAGTAAGTCACTGACTGCTAGGCTAAGCTTTTCCCCGGAGGCTGCTGAGACTAAGCATTGGTTAAATTCAGATCTGATGAGGGTTCGGTTAAGACCGTTCTTGAATTCTTAGCCTTTCGTTGGGAAAGCCATACCTAAAGATAAAAGGAAGGGAATTAAACATTAGTCATCAATGAAGATTTGATGCTAACACCAATCTCCTCACTACCACCAACACACATGTCTGCATCTGTTTTGAAGGGCACTGCTTAGTTTAAAATAATGTGAGACTTGATACATAAGCATGCATGTTATCTGTGTGCAAATTTACTGTAAATTGGGAATTTAAAGTAATTTCCTCAGTTCTCCAGAGGGCCGATATCATAGTTTTACTGCTTAGGTGGTAAAGCAAGAAATAACAATAATCATGAGTATTTTTCTCACTTAGTACTTATTATTAAGAACTTTGAAAATGCTAATTGGGCATCTGCATATTTTGCTCTTACTTTTGCTGGTTTATTTAATATTCAAGTGTTCATAATTATAAATGTCCCAACCAAACCAAACTTACAATGAGAAATTTTACAGCAGTGCCTCTTGCTGTCTCTAAGCAGTAAACTGGTTGAGAATCTGTTTTTCATTTTAGATATGCAGATTGCACAGAAATAGAATTCTATCTGGCAAAACTAGAGAGCTCCTGTACTAAGAGTCAGGAGCCCCAGACTTGCAGAAAGCCAAGAGTCATAACTCCTCAGGAACAGATGCTGTGAGTGCAGCAGAGAGGAGTTCTGGGGAAGGAGCATGCACAAGGCCACAGGACAGAGTATTAATGGAAAGGAAAACTTAAAAAAGGTTACAGGTTACATGTTATTTAAAAAAAATGCTTCAAGAAATGTGCAACAGAACACAGCCTCTCACTAACATTTCTGTGGTATAATTCTGACTTATTTTATACAATGATTCAGACAGAAAACATTACAATAAAATGTATTTGTAAAACAAAAGGCACCTATGTGCATGCACACACACAGATAACATACAAAGCATTGTGGCTTTCTTTAAATGAACAATGAATTTTCAAGTTTAAATCTTTGTGTCCAAGTTCATTAAAGATATTCCAATTAATATTAAGCTGAGGGGAGCCCTTTAAAAGATCAAAGTCCTAAAAAGTCAATAGCAAGCACGCAGCACCAAAGGTCATACACAATTCATGGAAAAAAAAAGTTTCAAAATTCTGACTGGTAAAACAGTGGGGTTGCACAGAAACAGTTTGTTTTTGTTTTTTTCCACATTGACTGGTCGTGTTATAACAGCTGCTGTATTCTAGTCCTTCATCCAGCAAGTCAATGGGCTGAAATATCAGGCATGACTGGCATTTCAATCCACTCTATAAAAAAAAGGCATCAATAATGTCTTTTTCAAGAATATTGCTTTTGATCATGTAAACCCATGAGTTTATATGACTTTAATTTTTGCCTCTAACAAGACAGAATTTATTAAGTTGATGTGTGGTCACCTAGTTCATAGTGACTATGGAAATTATAAAATATTGGTCATGTTAACCAGGACTTCAAAAGACAAAGCTGAAAACCCTTAAAACTGCAACTATTAACTGCATCCTTTAAGTGATCAAAAATATTTAAATACACACACAAATAACAGAAATGTAATAAAAATCTCAATATGATAGAACTTTAAAATTGAGCTAGCAAGTAAACCTGTGAGACAAAACTAATTTTTCGAGGTAGGGCTGATGAGGCCATCAGGACAACGTGGCAAGAATGGCCTAAAACTCAACAACTTCAGTCACCTAAGTAATAAAAGCATTGTCTGTTTGAAAATGTACATGGCAAGGATATCTACAGTGATTCTGAGATACTAAAGCAAATTCAAAATAAATCAAGGTATAGCTAACTTAATAGGAAAACTCTTGTGAAGAACTAAAATAAAAACATATTTAGTTTTCAACCTTTCCTATCAAAACTTACATTGCCTCTCTAAATTTGATAAACATCATTTCAAAGTCTGGGGCACCACAATTTAGGAATGAATTAACCATCTAGTACTAAACTCATACTTACCTAACACACCACTGGGTTCAATAGGGTACTCAAGGATTGATGTAGCTGGTGCCAACGTGTAGGGGTATTCATAGGGTGTGTAGATTAACCCAGCTTCAGGCCCCGGAGGGACTATTGCAGCAGTTGGGTGAGGAGTTCCGTTTGGCATGACAGCGGTCTGTATTTGTCTGATCAAAGGCATTATGGTAGGACCAGCTGGCGTAGGTGTACGCAGAGCAGCTGGTGGGAGGACAGGCGCAGGCCCAGTGATGATCCTTGGAGCAGCCTGGGCAGTTGCTGCAAGAGAAAAGGCAAGGGCTGCTACAGTAAGCAAAGAAATTTAGAAAGAAGTATAGGGATAGCAGTACACAACATGGGGAAATGAGAGCGAAGTAGGAAAAAGAAAGGAAAAAGCAGGAAAGAAGAAAAATAAAAGGAAATCATTAGAACATGCACTGATCACACAAAAATGCAAAGCACACCAATCAAATGCAATCAGCTTCCCCTTTACCAACATGATTAAAAATAATGCAAAAATTAAAAACCCACTGTAAAAAAATGAACACCACCATTAAAATGTTATACTGTTCATATCTTTGATGGTATAGCCACTATTAACACATTTTGTGAGACTATAAGGCCATGCAAAGCCAAAAAAAATCTCAAATTAAAAGATGCAATGTAAAGCCCGTAACTGGAGTCCACAGAAACAGATATGGTTTATTTCCAAAGTACAACATTGGCTCTAAGTCTCTTGAAGTCTAAGGAAAACTCCCTGATTAAGTCAGCTAAGGAAGCACTAAGTGTGTTTCCAGCAGGTCAGGAATTACTGCACAAGAAAAAGAAGCAGAAAGCAGTCCTATCGCTAAATTCAGGACTATTAAGAGTAAATTAAAGGCAACCATTGATAAAGCAACTATTGCTAAACTCATTGGGTTGCCTAACTTTGGGAATTTTGACTATAACTTTAAACTTCAATGTCTCAAAAAGGAAAGAAAAAAAATATCACTGCTCTAAATGTGACGTGTTCGCATAAATGACAGATAAACTTTATGCTGTTTCAAACCATAAATGTTATAAAACACTATTCTCTCAGATAGCTTATAAAATTATGCCACAACCCATGGTAGGTAAGGAGAACACAAGCTGAAAACAGTTCTCACACACTGATCTCTGTGAACTCACATAGGAACTTCAATAGCAAAAACAAACCAACAAAAAACAAACAAACAAAAAAACCAGACTACAACATGAGCACAAACATGCAAGCAAGGGGAAAGGAAAGACTTCAATAGCAGGCCACTCGATTTAGACACTTGAAATAAGATCTTTTTAAAGCCTCTTGCATAATGTAATAACGTAACAAGTTTAAAGTCTTAACTGGATAGTTAACAAGATAGTACATTTCTTGAACCACCTCCACACACACCAGAAAAGTAAATTTACAAACTCAAACTTGCTATGTTGGCATAAAATAAAATTGAGCAGGACACTGTTTACAGAAGCATTAAGAAAAAAAAATGGCCGGGCGGTGGTGGCGCACGCCCTTAATCCCAGCACTCGGGAGGCAGAGCCAGGCGGATCTCTGTGAGTTCGAGGCCAGCCTGGTCTCCAAAGCGAGTTCCAGGAAAGGCGCAAAGCTACACAGAGAAACCCTGTCTCGAAAAACCAAAAAAAAAAAAAAAAAAAAGAAAAAAAAATGGGGCTCTTTGTCACACTGTAAATGCTATTTTATTATTACTTCAACTGGTTTTATGCTGTGGTACCAAAAAGAAACAGGCCTGCAGACAAAACAGCTGTAATCCTGCCCCAGGCTCCTTACGTGATTTAATGTTGGCATCTCTGTAGGTGCCATTCAGAATTGCAAGCTCCATCAGCTGCATCTTCTTCAGGCTGTCTTCTCCTTCGGCCTACACAGGAGAAACAAGAAAAAAAAGGATTTGAGACTGTATGCATATATAAAAACCAAAACACTACACATCAAGAGACAGACTCTTAGAACTACAATAGTGAACTAACAATAATCACTCAATTTCTAAATGCTTATTTCTGCTTCCTTATACTGCTATTCTTGATTTCCCTCAATGTACCTAGCAAGTGCTATCAATTCTATCTTTGGCCCTCTATCTTTAGGATCATCATGAACCTACACAGGATGTATTTACAAGTGTAAAGGGCACTAAGGCTAATGAGACTACACAGACAGAAACCAGGATGGCTATATCATTTACCATGGTTTCACCCCTCTTCCATTAACCACTGCTACTCTTGGTAAGTCATTACTGTTAAACTACCCAAACGACTGAATTTGGCTACTAGTGGTGCCTGTCGTTCAATACATCCACAATCTAAACACCCGATCTAGATGCAAAGGCCAGATAAACTTCCCCAAACATAGCTTCTACCTCAATGTTTCGTAATATTCTCATGTCTACAGTGATTTCTTACTATCTGAACAAAGATTGTAATAAACCTTCCTCAAACTACCACCTCAAGGTGATCTTGCTCTTTCACAGAGATTTTATAGAGCAATAGACCAGAGAAAGTCTGTTAATGTCTTAGTGTTTATTCCCATTTGCCTACTTGCAAATGCTCTTTATGTGTTCCCGCATTGCTGGGGATATCACTCTGTATAAATAAAATGCTGATTGGCCAGCAGCCAGGCAGGAAGTATAGGTGGGACAAGCAGAGAGGAGAATTCTGGGAAGTGGAAGGCTGAGTGAGACAGACACTGCCATGAAAAGCGAGATGTAATGTACCGATAAGCCACGAGCCACGTGGCAACTTATAGACTAATAGATATGGGTTAATTGAATATATAAGAACTAGATAACAAAGAGCCTGCTGTGGCCGTACAGTTTGTAAGCAATATAAGTCTCTGTGTGTTTACTCGGTTGGGTCTGAGCAGCTGCAGGACTGGCGGGTGAGAGAAATTTGTCCTGACTGTGGGCCAGGCAGGACTGGAGAAAACTCAGCTACAAATGACGCCCAACGAGTTGGCAAGTTTCCACATAAAACCTGAGAAAAAAAGATTCTAAAACAGAGCTAAAAACAGCTTCCTAGTTGTCTCTCTCAAGGTATCGGCAGCCTGCGGGTTTGAGCTACTCTATGGCGGGTTCACGGTGTGCATAAAGGCTTGACCTACGCTATGTTACACAGAGGTGTCTCCAAGCTGTGCACTGTGCTGTGTGTTGGATATTTTTTGCTAGTTAAAAAAAGAAAAAAAAAGGGGGGGGGGGGTTCTGGGCTACATGCTGCTTCGATAAAAGCATAGACCCACTGTTTCTAAGAGTTGATGGCTCCTGGAGCTGGCGGTAAATATACCACTGCCATGTTGGGAAGCGGAGGTGGATGGAGCCAGCAGCCACAGTGCCATTTCAGTCTTAGAATGCTGCAGTTTAAAGCAATAGGTTCAGAACAAGACAGATTCAGATGGAATAGTTTTACAATGTGTGTAAAATATACGTTAGGCTTGAAAGAAATACATAGTTTTAAAAAAATAAAGTCTTTAAAAAGACAGTAAAATTAATATAAAAAATAAGCCACGTAAAGATGGATATCACACAGAGAATCTGGATTATGTTGTCTTAGATATTCTTAACTGCAGAAAGACATTTGATTGTAAAAGCTGTTGAGTTAAGCCATTATGTGTATTTTAAAGGTACCTTGACTTCAAAATTTGGATATAAAGATATGTTGCTTTGGAAAGGAGGCTCTGCTTTTGTTTCCACAGAAAGCAAAAGGCTATGGATTTGTTCCAGATTAAGATACATCAGGTTGGCCGGGCGGTGGTGGCGCACGCCTTTAATCCCAGCACTCGGGAGGCAGAGCCAGGCGGATCTCTGTGAGTTCGAGGCCAGCCTGGGCTACCAAGTGAGTTCCAGGAAAGGCGCAAAGCTACACAGAGAAACCCTGTCTCGAAAAACCAAAAAAACAAAACAAAACAAAACAAAACAAAAAACAAAAAAAAAACATAAAAAAAAAAACAAAAAAAAACCAAAAAGATACATCAGGTTTGACCAGCCAAGACCCCCTGAAAGGTCTCCGATGACACCAAGGCCCAGATGATCCAACATCCAGAACGGTTTCAAGGCAACTGGCTCAGACGATACACCCTCAGGACTACTCCATAATCCTAAAATTTTCTTTGTGTCCCCATAAGATACAGCGCCTACCTCCAGCAGGAAGTAGTAAGAGAAGCTATGCCCAAATTCCCAAATATACCAAGCTGGCTTTGGAGATGGAATTGGCTCACTCCTTCTCTAAACCCAAACATACTGCTTAAAAAAGTTGAGATTCTTTTGCCCCGTATCAGAAGAGCCCTCTGGTGTGGGACAGAGAAAAACCAGTATTTTTATTTAAATCAGGTTGATTATAAATGCAATCTCTTTCTAAAGAAGGGGATATGATATAGATATGACAGGATGAAAGGGTAGATTAATGAACCTACTTTTAAAGAGCAACTTGTTTGAAATGTTTTACATTGGTATAGATTTTAGTTTATTGATACAAATTTAAAGTTAATTTTGTTAAACTGTGTGTATATTTCTACTCTTGTTTAAGGTATTATGTTTGTACAGCTCATTTAAAATTGTAGTGGATAATTAAGAAATAGATTAATAATTAGTCATCTATGATAATCATACTCATAGCCATGTTAGTTAAGTCTTCTAGGTATACATAGATATATTTCAGATAGATAGGTAATCTTCAAACACTTCAAAGACCTACAGAATATGGCATTTAAAATGGTTTAAAAATTTATAGACTTTCTGGACAGTGAGACATGTCTGCTCCTGGGAGCACCGGATTTACTTCAGAGAGGAGGATGGGCATCAAAGACACTCTATATGGAGTTTATCTTCTTCTCGGCAAAAGTAGCCATTTGGGCAAGAAACTGTTCTTGCCTGGACTGCTCGATCGACTGGACATGCAGGACCCATAGAAAGGTGACCACTGAACTTTGCTTGGCAAAATGGTCCTTCAGGTTCCTGCTTCACAGAGGAAACTGCCAGACATTCTACAGGACACAGAGAAAAATGACTGGGAGACTCTAGGCCTGTGGGTTGAAGACAGATGCCCCAACTTTACAAAAGAACTTTGGATGACTGTTCAGGCTGCCAGCTGTCTCTTTCTACTCTTGCAAGACTCCCGAAAGTTGCCTGCATCTGTTTCCTGTTTCTCAGGTAATATTATATCCTTCTGAGGTCTTTGATGTAGTTGAAGACTAGATAGTTATAATTTTCCTTAGTTATGATAAGAATAAGTTAAATATGAAACCTTAGACTCACAAATATTAGATAGGATATCTTCTTTAATTTTGCCAAATACAAATAGACTAGATAGTGTAACTGTAATTCTTGCTTGATAATTGTTTTGTTATATGTATGTAATTTTACTACGTGAAAGTTAAAACCTTCCTTGTTGAAAAAAAAGAAAAGGGTAAGTTCTGTGGATATCACTCTGTATAAATAAAATGCTGATTGGCCAGTAGCCAGGCAGGAAGTATAGGCGGGACAAGCAGAGAAGAGATTTCTGGGAACAGGAAGGCTGAGTCAGGAGACGTCAGCCTGCCAACCAGGGAGCAGCATGTAAAGGCAACAGGTAAAGCCATGGAACACGTGGCGACATATAGATTAACAGAAATGGGCTGAGTTTAAGTGTAAGAGCTAGACAATGGTAGGCCTGAGCTAACGGCAAAACAGTTTAAGTAATGTAAGCGTCTGTGTGTTTATTTTATAAGTGGGCTACAGAACTGCTGGGGATTGGCAGGACCTGGAGAGAAAAACTCTAGCTACACTGTATGCTCCCCTTTCCAAGATCTACTAATTCATACAACTCCAACTAAAATGCCACCGTCTTCAGGAGCCACCCCTACCTTCTACGATTTCAGTCTTTAATTACAGATTGTTGAATGTCACCACTCCCAAATTAAGAGCCATTAGAATAGTCTTGATTTTGTTATTTATCGCTACCTAATCCCCATGTACTGATCCCAAAATTATGTTGGAATTAATTTTTGTTTGTTTTGAGACAGGGAATCACTACACAGTCCTGGCTGTCCTAGAACTCACAGAGCTCCTCCTGCCTTCCTCCCAAGTGCTGGGTGCCAGGTTAAAGGCATGCCACCATTCCTGGCTAAAATTTAATTATTAAATGACTGGTATGAGAAACCTAATTTTACTGACAAAGCTCAAATGTCTGAGTTCTACATCACAAATTTTAACTAGCAAAAGCAAAACACAAGTGGTAAAAAAAAAAAAAAAAAAAAAAAGACTAGGAAGTTTGTCCTTTAAATATTATGGCACTCAGGGTCTCCCCACTGTAGTATAAGTCCAGCTGAAACATGGGAGGGATACTACTAAGACATATGCAAGTTTCTCAGTCTTCTCTTTCTATTACAACTGAAATGATAAGCTCTTTACAACAGGGACTGATATACTGTAATTTGTAGAAAATAAAATTGCTGAGTTGGGTATTTAGTAAATCACACAGAATTAAAGAAATATGTAAGTGAAACCATTATGAAAATAACATTTGATGTGCCACCGACAACTTTTAAAAAGTTGCCTTTGCAGTACAGGAAGAAGATACTTGCATATTTGTTGGATTATTATTCCTTGATCCTCATCAATTCGTGTAAAGATCAATAAAATAAATGACTTATTTGGTCAAATATAAAATACGTGAGCTATTATTGGGAGGGAAGAAGTAGAAATCTATTATGATCAAAGTTCCTAAATCTGCTCATTAAAAGCATTAATACTGTCAGGCAGTGGTGGGGCACGCCTTTAATCCCAGCACTCAGGAGGCAAAGTCAGGTGGATCTGTGAGATCGAGGCCAGCCTGGGCTACAGAGTGAGTTCCAGGAAAGGTGCAAAGCTATACAGAGAAACCCTGTCTCAAAGAA